GAGGCGGAAGAGGAAAATATAACAGTAAGAAGGCAAATTTAAGAAGGAGAAAGATTTGACTGAAAAACAAAGATGAGAATAAACAACCGGGGTTGTAAAAGAGAGACGGATGAAATTGTTGTTGTCGTTGCTGAGTTGCTATTGTCGTTTTTTAAGTTGGAGTCGCTGTTGATGTTGTCGCTGTCACGAAAGTTATTTTTGTTGCAGTTGTGGTCATTATTATTATTATTATTATTATTATTATTATTATTATTATTATCATTGTTATTGTTGTTGTTGTTGTGGTCGTGGTTGCTGTTGCTGCCGTTACTGTTCTTGTTAATAGTGGCAGTAGTGTTGTTTGTGGAGGAAGGTTACATTGGATGTTTGTTGGTGGGTTTTTTTAGAGGGAGCATGATAGCCGCCATTACGTTCACATGGTTGCTCACTACTTGTGCTGCTGGTGGTGTTGGTGGTGGTGGTGGTGCTGCTGCTGCTGCTGCTGCTGTTACTATTGCTGATGCTGACTGTTTTATAATAGACATGGACATGATAAGATAATAATGAGCATGATGCACACAGTCGGGCGATAATTCAATCAACACTGTTATCTTTCATTAGATAAATAGCCACAAGGATAAAAGTATTATTTAAAAAAGAGAAAGGACAAAAAAACAACAACCCAGATATAAAAACATATCTGTAAGTACCCTTTATTTCTGTACATTCACAAAGCTGCATACACATTTTAAAACCGGGGAGTATACTCTCGAGTGTCTTTTCATCGTGTCGTGCATGAGTAAAAATTTCGAAAGGAGGCAATCGGTGTAATTCATTGTCATGAGCGTCGTGTTATTTCCCTTGAATTGAGTGGTCAATATGATTGTTGTTTGTGGCCAGTGGTTTGTGTCAGTGGCGCAGTCGCTGTATCTTGGATGGCCCTCTTTCATCTCTGCTATTCTACTCGGCTGTCAGGCACTGCAATATGGGAGGGGAGGGGAGGTGTACATGTTACAAACGGTTATGGTTTCTTCACACTATAAATGGTCGACAGAGTGTTCTACTGCAGAAAGGTCTGAGACGGAATGTCAAATATTGGAAAAACAAAGAAGAAGAAGATACCAGAGACTTTTTATCTGCGTTCGTCTATCTGTCTAATGAACTGTCTGTCAATAAGTCTAGAATCTAGACAGTTTGTCTACGTCTGTTTGTCGGTTGGTGGGTCTTTTCTTTCTTTTTTTCTTTCTTTCTTTCTTTCCTTTTCTGCCTGTCTGTTTCTCCGCTTCTACCGTTCTCTCTTCCCCCTCTCCGTCTCTCTCTCCCTGTGCCCCCCCTCACTCTCCCCCCTCTCTCTCTCTTTCTCTCCATATCT